CCAATATACACCTTTATTTTAATCAAAGATGGAACAAAAACAGTGTCATCTGTATAGAATGTATAAAGATGAACACTAACTTCAAGTTCAGCTAAAAAACATTAAAACATCGGTTTTGAGAGCCAGAAATTAACATTTTTGGACAACAAGAGCATATCATCGAAATGTAAACACACATAAAGGTGAGATAGAAATTATGGAAAAAAGATGTAGCTAAACTTGAGAAAATGCAACTGTGACTCAACTCACATCATTGGTGTCTTTAAAACTTGCATTTGATTGGTTGTCTAAAGCTGCAAAGGCAAAACAAGCTAGCTTTCAAGCAAACACAGTCACAGAAATCTGACCCTTCGCGTCGGCTATTATCCCTGGGCCACGTCTGCCTGACATGGGAACGCACATTACCACCGCCATTTTCATTATCCAAAGGTCTTTTGTTGTTCGTGACTTCAAATTATGTTTTTCTTTTTGGGACTCTGGTAGTTTGTCCTATAGTTGAAGCTTTAGCAGCCGACTGTTTCCCCTTCTATGATATTATTAAGCGCAGAACCTCTCACACCAGTGGTGTTCTGTTCCAAAATGCACGAATGTGTAATGAGTGGAGGACCCACGGAAGTGTGGCGATTTGGTGAGACTGACAACCGGATGGTCCAGGTGTTGGTTTCGGACCAGGCCGTGTTATTGGCTGAAGGTTTTAGACAAATGATAGAGAACCACTTGACTAATCTGTTTCTTTTTTTTAGGCACAATATGTTCATAGCTGTACTATGTGCAAATGTTGTTAAAAGGCATGAAAAAATGTCTTAGCTAGCTCCTTTTGCAGATTTGCCATTGCATCTTTAATGGTTCCTCAAATGGGTACTGTAAGCTTTGTGACTGCTTTGTGACTTTTACAAAGCAAAACTTGTAGAAGCAGCCCCCCCACCCCACCACACACACACACACACACACACACACACACACACACACCCCTCCAGCGCCACTACCACCACCCATCTATATCTAATGATTTGCTTTTAAGTTATGGCAACGCTGGATTAGCTTGGAGGTCACCTCAAAGCAACACTGCTCATGTTGTTTCACAAATAGTTCATAATTAACACAATTAGCAACTTATTAGAGGTCAACTAAAGCACACTTTACTCACACCTAACAGGACAGTGACACTCTGCAAGAGAAACAGCAGCTTCCTCTGAAAGCTGCTAGCACACCAAAAAAAGACAACACCAGTGGTCTTCCTGTAAAAGGCATTAAGTCTGCAATGCCTTTTCCTCTGAAATGTCAGACCCTTTAAAGCCCTCAAGCCTATTCTTGGACACGAGCCTTGATTTAAAGAGTCTGCTTCAACTTTCCATGAAGTATGCCAACAACTCCTACATTCAACAGCCAATCAGAAGTCTTCTTTCTGCTGCATCATGGAGGTCAGAGGTTTCTAAGTACACTGATTTCCACAAGCGTTGTGTATCCAGCTTTAACTAAATAGCAACATGTATGTAATACATAACTTGAAAAATTCAAGAGAAATGCAAAATAAATTATTGTAGATTAGTTTCCAAATGCAGATTATGCAATTTTTGAAAAGCGGCAAAAGTATTAAATCAGACTTGATGCTGTTAAGTAATTCATAATTAAACACATTGGAATAACATTTAGTTATGAGCAGAATAACAATAACTTGTTTTTCTTACATTTGGATAAAACCCTAAAAACAAGAATTATTTCTAATTCAGTTATTGTAAAATCATCCAAAAGAGCCAACACAGGACCTTTCAAAATGGATGTTGTTAGTAGTATAATATAAAATTAGCAGAATTTTAATAACTGTCTGGCATGAAATGTGAACATCTGACTCTCCGTAGAGCGTTATAATCTCTGACAGGATGGCCTGCTCTCAGCTTTATAAATAAGGGAATCCTCGATCTGTTGCCTTCCTGTTTATGTTCCCTTTTAGAAAAGAGAGGTTCTGGTTATTATTGTCTTTGTCTGCAAGAGCACATGTTGCTTTCTGTTCCATTTGCATACTGACTTTGGTAAGAGACGTGTCCACTCAGCACCCTTGGCTTGGAACATGCTGCATAATGAGTGCATTTAAATCTAAATTAAAAGTCACCGCCTCCATAACATACATCTGTTTGATGTACACTGCTGTAAATCAGTTCACCTTATATCTGTTCAGCTGTGTTATCTATGTAATCCTGTTTTAATTTGACAGAAAGGACTGACAAGCAGAGTCCCCGCCCCTTTAATGACGCCGTCTCATTTGGTCTGTCTTCACATGTTGCTGTGTGCAGATTTGGTTTTGAAAGGTTAAAGTCCTTATTTTAGTCACTCTTACAAATTACAAATAAAATTGTGACGTTGTTGCCCGTAGCTTGAAAAATACTGATGTTCCAATGAAAAACAGAAGGTGTAGGCACTTTAAACCAATGATTGTTAAGGATACTTACACGTGGATGATAGATCAGCGTTTATCCTGTTGTTGCATCTTTTGACCACAGGGCCGCTTTTTCATTAAGTAACACTAATAGTAACAATAATATTTATATCGTTGGGCACAATTGACAGGATATTGTAGCATACAGCATGGAACAGAAGAAACATTTGATGTATTGCTAGCAAGGCTCAGGTTTCCAGCTAGCTCCTGTGCTCTGGTGAAGATGTCGCCACCACACCTCTCAAAGAGATGTCTAAAGCCATAAAGCTCACTCAGTCATGGTTTACAGCTGCCAGTAGCTGTTTCTGTGAAAATGTTATGAACAGTAAATATCTTACCTGTTAGACAGCTGTTTGAACAACCTCAGTTTGGAAAAACAGAAACTACTTCTGCCTGAACAGAAGAGCTAACTGCTAGTTTGTTTGGGACCAGTTCTAAAGCGTTTCTATTGTGTTAAAAAAAACCTTCCTCGTTATTTTCAACATATTTTCCATCGGTAGAGGTGTGGGGACCTGGTGCCTACATCCAGCAGTCAGGTAAGAGGCGAGGGACACCTTGGACACGTCTCCAATCCATCACGGGGACAAAGAATCATGTCCACACTCACTCATTCATTCACATCTAGAGACAATTTAGTCCCCATCTAAACTAGCATGTTACTGGCCTATAGGGGGAAACCAGAGTGCCTGTTAAAACCCACACATGCATGGAAAACATCCTAACTTCATGCAGAAAAGCTGCTGCTGGGTTTCAAACCTGCAACCATCTCACTGTATGACAACTGTGCTACCAGCAGGAATCCCTTCCTAAAACAACAGTAATCATAACATTTCATAGAAATCCATGCAAATGATGTTTTATAAACTGGTACAGAGCCATAAGATAAACATAATGAGTGTATTCATAGACCCATAGAAAGGTATTGTTTACATCTGGGTAACTGCATACATCCACACCAGCTGGACGGCAAGAACCCCCTTCTCCAGCTATTATCCAGAGCTGTGGTCGCTTATAATTATATATTAAAAGAACATAAGTCATTAGATGGCTATGACTTGTTTGTTTCTGGACATGTGGGGCAGATATTTAATGTTTTTATTCTGTCACGAGACTTTGTCTGCCACCATGTGGGTCGTGGTTTATCCACTAGAAATGGCAGTGAACCATTACCTTTGGTTTTTATTATGGCTTTTCAACTCCGGGCCTCGAGGGCCGATATGCAGCACGTTTTAGTGGTTTCTCTGCTCCAACACACTAGATTCAGTGGTTGAATCACCAGTGCAGCAGCTCATCAGGCTCTGCAGAAGCTTGTTAATCACCTACTGATTGACAGCAGATGTGTTGAAGCAGGGTTAAAACTAAAACGTGCTGGCTGCACCTTCGAGTACTGAATAGCCTTGGTGTATTTTATCAGCTGGAAACCTGTACAATTTCACTTTACTGTCCTTCTTTTACTTGTGTAGCCTACAGCTCTACGTGTGTTAACCATGCTAATAGATTCTATTTTGCTGCTGTTTAGCTCTGTTTATTGACAACTAACAGATAAACACAACTGTGGTCAACGGGGAGGTGCAGGCTTCTTGCCCTCCAGGGCTGGGGGGCGGGGGGGTGGGGTGGGGGGTGACGTCACACTGAAATGGGCCTATATAAAATTATGAGATCATTTATCTTAGCATCTAAACTAAAGCCTGTAGTAAACTGCCTGTGTTGCAAAGCGCCATGGAGGAGTGGGGGTCGGGTGGAGGGGTGGGGTGTTGTGTTCTAGGACTCAGATATTGTATGAATACAGGCCGTTTACCATTTCACTTGCTTTCATTCATAAACTAATCTCTGTTTTTCCAGATTGAGGCTGTTCAGAAACAGGTGTAAAATAATACATTGTTCCCACAGAAATCCTATTCAGAGGAACTTTCACTTTTACAATAACAAGAACAAACTTCTTTAGCATGTTTATTTTTAAAAACTATATAAAACATTCCAAAGAAACGTTTGTAATCTTTGTTCAGTCACCAGTAACATGAAATAAAGATGTGACCATGACAGCCAGATCCAGAGAGCAACCTGTTGTAATGAACACATTTCCATCTCAACATTTTATGAGGTTAACCCTAATTTGATTACTCTTACTTTTTACATAATTAGCTATATTTAGAGGTCTAACAGCTGTCACTGACAATGATGCGGTGCCTCCTCAGCGCTGCAGCTTAATCATATGATGATGCTGCTGATGTAGGGATAGGGACCGGATGAAGCCGGTCTCAGATCCCAGGCCCTGTGAGCTCAGAGCTGCTGCTTCAGAATTTAGGGCTGAAATAATCCGTAAAGGGGAAGAGACACACATTCCCTCTCTCCCTCAAAGCCGCCGAACGCATCCCTACATGCCTCCAGCCCTCTGACAAGGAGGACACAAACTGTACAAAATGTTTTCTCCTAATTCACTGCAGTTCTTAGTCATCGCCGGCTCATTCCGGCGTCCCAATGCCCGATTCTCGGACGATCTCGCTGATCGCCAGCAGCGGGGGTCTCTTTCTGTCCGCCACAATATAAAAAGACTAACTGACTTTACCTTTAAGGTGACGGAGCGTCCGCTTTATTAGAGGTCCAGCTGCTGGTGGGCTCGCTGACCTTGGAGTGGAAGATGCGTGTGCCCGTGGAGTGGACGTCTGTGTGTTTGAATTTCCTGAGAGGCGCTCAGGCACAGACGCGGCGTGGTGCGACGCGGCTGCGCGCGCGTTGCGGAGGGCGGCGCTGATCCGGTGTGAAAACTTCTCGTGTCTGTGATTCATCCACCCTGATCCTGGTCCTGGAGTTTGTAGCGAGGAGCAGAAGGAAGGAAGAATGCTGAATCCATTAGAACTAAATGGTACGTGCTCTGATTTGGAGCACGTGGCATCTCTGCTGAGCGGAAGTGTTTTAAAGTGTTTAAGGGTTGCGTTAGTCTCAGAGACCTGTGGGCTGGGACGTAATTTTGGGGGGGGGGACGGGTGGGACATGTCCCCCCCACTTTTTCAAAAGGCAGTTTTGGTCCCCTGCACTTTTTTCCGTCCAAAAACAATGTTACGCTCCATTAAATGGATTTGTTTGAGCACTAGGACCGAAACGGAAACCGGTTTACTATTAGACCCGCCCAAAAGCTAATCTATTGGCTCTGCTGATACTTGCTAACGTATTATTGGCTGTTGCTGCTGTCACTCAAGTTGTAAACAGTCAGAACGTGCTCACGTTGTTTTGCTAGTTTGGAGCCGCTAGGGAACACCGGTACTGAGTCACATCGTCAACTAGACGCTGTGTAATATCAGAGCTCAGCTCAGCTTCCATTACATAACATTTGAATAAGTGTTCATTTGTGAGTCTTTGGTAGTTAGGCACAGCCAGGAGGCAGCATGTCAAGAAAACGAAAAGTGGATATAAGAGACTTCTTTCAAAGTCGAAACGTAAGTTGGAACATGTGACACCCCTGCATTAAGCTCAGACTCACCTCCTCCTTCACAAACATACTCAAAACTAACTTTTACAAACTCATCTCCTCCACATAACTGACTCCTCAGACACAATTTATTCGTATTATTATAATAATTATTTTTTTATTATTACTATTATCATAATTATTATTACTAGTAGTAGTAGAAGAGTAACTTCAAAACTTTTATCATTTAACTTTATTGTAAACTTATCTATTGCAATGTATATTTTCACATTAAAAAGCTCTGAAAAATGAACAGTATCATTATCGTCAACAGATTTTTTTAAGCTTAATGTCAAAGATGTACACTTTTCATTAGATTTATCTTGTTTTTTCATTTATTTTTTGTGTGTTGAAATGCAACAACTGTTTAAACACTTTTAAGGGAAAAAACATATTTAATATGTTTTTATACACTCAAATGTTAGGGTGATGATCATGTGTAAAACATTAGTTCAGCATGTCCTCTAACACAGCAAATGAACAAACGGCCAGATCTCAGGAGGGACCGTTTATGTATAAATACTTTTTATACTTTTGACTAGGCCTGGGAATGTAACAAATTTTGCTGGACGATATTTTGTCCAACAAATTGTTGATGATAAACGATATTGTCAACATTATCTAGACCAAAATAACCACTAATATAATGTTAATATATCATAATAATGCAAGTACACCCTTTAAAATGCAACAAATAAACCTTCATTTAACATTGAAATGTCCAGAACCAGAACTTCTAAATGAATAAAAATAACAAACAAAAATTAAATAAAAAAGGAATCTCACTCCCTGTTAGAAAATGTTGCACCAAAAACAATAAAAAAAACACCCAAAACAATAAATACAATGACCAATACATTGTCAACAGCCAAAACTGCACTTCAATAATGATAAAAAAATAAAAATAATAATAGAGTTGTACATTTTTTAACTCTGATATATATATATATATATATATATATATATATATATATATATATATATATATATATATATATATATATATATATATATTGAGGATGGAAAAATTATTGAGATGGGCACGTGACGTGTCAAGGGGTCTTTACATAACACCCCCCACCCCAAATCCGCACAAGCCTGCTGTGTCCCCCCCACTTCTGAAATCAAAATTTCGTCCCTGCCTGTGGGCAAGTTCAGGGTGCAACATTCAGTCTTAGCTCTTTAACCTTTGAATGCAGCAGCTAAGCTATTTTTAAATTACATAATTTACTTTCAAATGAACTTCCTGTATCCATAGGCCTACTGACAGTCTGCTCACCTTTAAAAGCAGCTGAAGACCCTTTTATTTAATGCTGCTCTTGCTAAAATCTTATTTGTTCATCTGTAAAAATTACTTTTTAATACACTTTTTGTTGTTTTATGATTTTTTTGTAGGGCGACTTATGATCATTTTATTACTTTGCCCTTTTCTTTAAAACTTTTAAATAATTTGTTTTCTGATTTTATTGATTTTTTCATTGATCATTTTTCTTTATTTTGTTGTTTTGATTTTATGATCATTTTATGACTTTATGATTAATTTAGTTGATCTATGTGAAGCACTTTGCTATATAAATAAACTTTACTTACAGTGGTGTGAAAAAATATTTGCCCCCTTCCTGATTTCTTATTCTTTTGCATGTTTGTCACACAAAATGTTTCTGATCATCAAACACATTTAACCATTAGTCAAAGATAACACAAGTAAACACAAGATGCAGTTTTCAAATGATGGTTTTTATTATTTAGGGAGAGAACAAAATCCAAACCTACATTGCCCTGTGTGAAAAAGTAATTGCCCCCTGAACCTAATAAATTGTTGGTCCTCCCTTAGCAGCAATAACTGCAATCAACCATTTGTGATAACTTGCTACGAGTCTTTTACAGCGCTCTGGAGGAATTTTTGCCCACTCATCTTTGCAAAAATGTTGTAATTCAGCTTTATTTGAGGGTTTTCTAGCATGAACCGCCTTTTTAAGGTCCTGCTATAGCATCTCAATAGGATTCAGGTCAGGACTTGGACTTGGCCACTCCAAAGTCTTCATTTTGTTGTTCTTCAGCCATTCAGAGGTGGATTTTGTTAGGTATTTTCATTTTCCCATCCAGGGTTACCTGAAGGGAAAGCTCACCGCGAAGGGGTTTTATTATCAAGCTGATAAATTTAACCCATACTAATCTTATGACAATAAACCATTTAGATTTTCCAATGTGGAGAGAGATAAAATGATACGCACGAGTCTGTGGTCTCTTTGCTCTCTCGTCAGACCAAAGCCCTCTCAAGAGTATTTATTAAAAGACACACAGAAATGATAAAACATACACACATTTAGGGAGACAAGCATGCGCTGGCACAGGGCGTTCTTACTGATAAGCCAGGACTGGGAAGATGCAAGGTCAAACACTTGTCTGATGCCAGGGAAGAATAAGCTGGATGAGTTGCGTTTAAAATAATGTATCCATAATTTACCCAACAGATCTGATGGTGTGTTTTGGGTCATTGTTCTGCTGCAGCACCCAAGATAACTTCAGCTTTAGTTGACGAACAGATGGCCAGACATTCTCCTTCAGGATGATTTGGTAGACAGTAGAATTCATGGTTCCATTTATCACAGTAAAGGATGGGTAGTTTACATCATACCTGGCGGGGTATATGCTGGATTGCTGGAGGGAGTGGAAGATGGTATGCCTCTCCCCAGCTGTCCATTGAGGACGTCGAAGACGTGTGGATATTTGGCCTGATGATTACTGGATTTCTTCTGATTGGAGTGGGAGGATGTCTGGTTTTCTGGAAATGTGGGAAGACGGGAGCGATTGGAGAGCGACCCGCACCCACGGAAAGCACCGTCTGTGTGGAGACCTCACAGACTGGGACGATACTCGAGGTGAATCGTAAGCTGGACAATGTTCTAGCTGCGATACCGGTATTAGTGCCCAAAATGGATGTCATCTCGGAGAGGGTCACCGGACGGTATGGACAAGTTTTAAAAACCTAAATTGGCTTCACTGAAGGACTGGAATGATCAGTAAAGACTGGAGACAGAGAGGAAAATTATCTCAGCCTGACCCAAACAAAGTCTTGTTATCCCAATATATGCTAACAACAAACCCCCACGAAGGAATGCAGACAGATGCTGCCTTCGGATTCGTGGACTTCAGCCTGGAGAGGTCATCAACCTGCAGGAGTCAATGTGCTCTGCGCTTCTCCCGAGAACTCCCGCCCACCTGTGGCTACAGTGGCTGAGCACCGTACATGGCTGCTCTCGCTGGGGAAACAGGATCCCCCCCACCCCCCACCGCCTTCCTATCGACGTATCTATGTTGTGTCGTCTGAAGTCTGTTGCTTATCTGTCTGAGGTGTTTTTTTTTTGCAGAGCAAAGCTGCCCTCCTTGTGGGAGAGTAGCTATGAAGTGCCTTTTTTCCCTCCTCCCGAATCAGTTCCTCATGTAACCCTTTTATCTCTGTTAAGGTAGCGTGACTCAGGGTTGCGAATGACCACAGTCACCAATTCTTTTCATGTGTCTTTCCCATGTATGTCTGATCTCTGAATTGTGTGTACTGAAACTCTAATTTCCCTCTGGGATTAATAAAGTATCTTTGAATACTTATGAACCATAAAATGTGAGATTGCATAGAAATATGAAATATCAATATGATGGATTTTTGAATATTTTAACCAGAAGATCTGAACTTTTTATTGCAGGGATTAAGCGACACTTCGTATTAACTCCGAGGAAAGAAAGAGAGTCAGGTTTATAATAGTTAAGAAATTTATTTCTGCACAATTTAAACAAGACTAACTTTAGCACTCCATGTACTGATGGAACTAAGGTGGAGTGAGACTTGCGATGATGGTGTGTGTGTGGAATGTTATTATCAGAACCAACGGATCCGGAGAACCATTTAGTTCTGAGTGGGAGTGGATGTTTCGCTCTAAACTATGGTTGGAGATTTATAACACATATGAAATGCCATCTGTCAGTCTATGTACCCCAGGAGAAGCCTCCATTTAGATCCAGAATGTCGAGGTCCTCTTGAACCCTCCTTGGAACTGAAGCCCGTAGAAAAGCCGACCAAACTAGTCTTGGAATGCTTCCAGGTCACGACAGGTTAATTGGCGTCAGCGAGACCCTGAAGGGGTCATGAGGTTCAGCTTTTATTCTGAAGGAACCGTTGCGGTCAGGTGTAACTTGCAACAGATTTTATCCAGCTTGTCTAGGTTCTTTTGGCTGAAGAGGAAGTCCGGATGGCCTGTCCGAGACTTCTCTACAACGCTTTGAACTAAAGAAAAGGTGGCGTGGAATAGTTTTTATAATTGTCATATTTT